TCCTTGTACACCCAGCCCCACGTACTACCTTCAAGATGGCAAAACTACTGAGAACAATGTATATTTTTTTATTACCCAAATTGTCTATTAGCTAGTTTAATATTTTAAAAATAAAGCTTACTGTATTAGCTGTTACTGTTGTGGTTTTAATGCTTGGCGCCAAATGTAATTCTGATCAAGAGGATGAAGGAAAAAGGAACACTCTTCCTGATACCATACATGGCAGTTTTAAAACATGGCCCCCAAATTCTTTGACATGCCTCCTACTAGGAGGTAAGGTCTATGTCTCTCTCCTGTGAATCTGGTTGTATTTGTAACTACTTTGGCCAATAGTGTATAGTCAGTGGTGATTTTGGAGGCTAGGATGGAAAAGGCTGTGCAGATTCTACCTAGTTGTCTTAGTTTCCTAGAGGCTGCTGGAGCTGATTACCGCAAACTTGGTGGCTTAAAAGAACAGAAATTTATTCTCTCACAGTTCTGGAAACCAGAAGTCCAAAATCAAAATACAGGCAGGTCCATGCTTCCTCCTAAGGTTTTAAGGGAGCATCCTTCCTTGCCTTTTCCAGCTTCTGGTGGCTCTAGACAATACTTGGCTTGGGGCTGCATGACTCCAATTTCTGTCTCCCTTTTTACATGCCTTTCTCCCCTTTGGGTCTGTGAAATATCCCTCTGCCTTTTTCTTTAAAAATATTTGTCATTGGATTTACGGTCCACCCTAAATCCAGGATGAGCTCATCTTGATATCCTTAACTTAGTTATATCTGCAAAGATCCTTTATTCAAATAAGGTCACATGCACAGGTTCCAGGTGTTAAGAGTTGGACATATCCTTTTGAGGGTCACTATTCATCCCACTATACTGGCCCTCTTGTAACTCTCTTTTTCTGGGACATTCCAACTCTGAACCCAGCCTCTATACTGTGAGAAGCTCAAGCCACATGGAGAAAACTACTGTTAAATGCTTTGTTTAACAGTCCTACTTGAATCAGCCTCCAAGTCATCCTAGCCTAGGTAACAGACATGTGGATGAAGAAATCATCTTGGGAATGGAACCCCTGTTGTTATTGTTGCTAGTTATCTTTGAGTTGACTGACTCATGGGGATCTCACGTATAACGCAATGAACCATTGTCCAGTTCTCTGCTATCTTTATGATCATTGGTATATTTGAGTCCATTATTGTGCCTATTGTGTCAATCCATCTCACAGAGGATTTTCCTTGTTTTTTTTTTTTTTTTTTATGACCCTCTGGTTTACCAAATGAAAACCTGGTGGTGTAGTGGTTAAGAGTTATGGCTACTAATCAAAAGGTTGGCAGTTCGAATCCACCAGGCATTCCTTGGAAACCCTATAGGGTAGTTCTACTCTGTCCTATAGGGTCCCTCTGAGTTGGAATCGACCTGACGGCAATGGGTTTTCTTATTTTTTTTTTTTTTAGTTTACCAAATATGATGTCCTTTTCTAGTGATTGGTCTTTCCTGATGATGTGTCCAAAGTAAGCAAGCTGAAGTCTCACCATCCTCATTTATAAAGAGCATTCTGGTTGTATTTCTTCTAAGACTGATTTGTTCATTTTTCTGGCAGTCCACGGTATATTCAATATTCTTCACCAGCACCACAAGTAAAATGCACCAATTCTTCTTCTGTCTTCCTTATTCTTTGTCCAGCTTTTGCATGCACATGAGGCAATGAAAAAGACCATAGCTTGGATTAGGTGCACCTTAGTCATCAAAGTGACATCTTTGCTTTTTAACACTTTAAAGAAGCCTTTTGCAGCAGATTTGCCTGATGCAATACATTGCTTGATTTCTTGATTGCTGCTTCCATGGACATTGATTGTTGATCTAAGTAGAATGAAATTGTTAACAACTTCAATTTTTTTTTTCCATTTATCATGATGTTGTTTATCAGTCCAGTTGTGAGGATTTTTGTTTTCCTCACATTCAGGTGAAATGCATGCTGAAGGCTGTAGTCTTTGACCTTCATGAGTAAGTGCTTCAGGTTGTCTTCATTTTCAGCAAGCAAGGTTGTGTCATCTGTATATCACAGGCTGTTAATGAGTCTTCCTCCAATCCTGATGCTGTGTTCTTCTTTATATACTCTGGCTTCTCAGATTCTTTGTTCAGCATAGAGATCAACCCCAGCTATTCCACCTCTCAAGCCTTTCCAGTTGAGGCCCTAGAAATTGAGGGGCAGAGAAAATCTGTCTTGGCTATGCCGTTTCCTAGTTTCTAACCCACACAATCTGTGAACATAATAAAATGGCTATTGTTTTATGTTACTAAGTTAGGAGTAGTTTGTTTTGCAGCAAAGATAACTTAAACATTTATCAAAGAACCATCTCTGTAAACGTAAGCGTCAGAATGCTTATAGCATATGCAAAATCACCATCACATTATTGCTGGTGCATTCTAAAGGAAGAATTATTTGGTTAGTTGTTCCCAGAGAAGTGGAGGTTCAGTGAATGAGAGTTCCACTCATTTTCTTCTAAGGCAACTAATAGTCACCTAACATTTCAAATTAAAGTTTGTAGAAGAAGCATTAGCACAACCAAGACATATAGCCTGTCCCTATTATTATTATAATCCCTATAATAATGAGATTAGACATCTATATCCACTGCAGTGCTTATTTGGGGAGTATTTCTATATCTTATTGTATTTACACTTGAGTGTTTGAGTGTATTGAGCAGATAACGGCAGCAAGTATTCAAAGCACCATCTCTGTGTGCTCAATGGCAACATGAAGAACAGGCAATGATCCTACCCCAGCCCAAATCAAATACAGAGTAAAATGGCTCATCTCTCTGGTTGCTCCCCAGAGACCACTAGAAATGTGACTGATGAGACACGAAGGACCCTTGTTCCTGCTGATGGGATGATCAGACCCAAGCAAGACTGTCAGAGCAGCAGTGACTGAAGATTGGCCCTTAGGTAAGGAGTTTCTCTTTCCAGACTTCCAAGATAATATAGCCAAAGTAAGCTGTGTATTGAATAAAACGTGCAAAGGATGATGCTCAGTTTCTGCAACTGCATCAATATCAGAATTAATTGACTTTTTACCTACAATTCCCTTTCTAATTTATATGCAGTAAAATTGACATTTTACTGAATGGCATCTGGGTGAAATTCCACTTTTAAAAAGAACTGACAGATTAAGAAAGTAGGTGCTGATTTGGGCTTTGTTATATGCAAGTTGTAAATAGGGTAAATAGGCCTACTAGTTCAATACAACAATTGGTCATGTCTTTCAATATTTGGTCACTTATTTCCAAAGAAATACCCAGCAGTATTATTGGATGAAGTAGTGTTTCTTTCTTTCTTTTTTTTTTTTTTTTAGTGTTTTTTTATCTTTATTTAGGTTTACAAAATACATGCTTATAGAAAATTAAAACATAGAAATATATAAAGCAGATTATGAAAGTTCTTCCATGTCACTTCCTCACAAAACCACTGATAATGATGTGACGTTATTTCTCCAGTATTTTTAGAGCATTAACAAGTTACTTTACGAAAATGCTTGTACAACTATTTTTTTACGTAATAGTAAAGTTTGGACAATTTAGCATAATAGTCCAGACATTCCTCACCCTCCTAACCAATACATAGAACTAAATTGTATGCAGGTACTATAATCTATTAAACCAGTCTCTGTTGATGGGACATTTAGGCTACTTGTAATTATTAAAGCACAAAGGTGCAATGAATTTCTTGGGTTCTCTTGCCAGGTTATTCCCACTGGGCAGTTTCCTAGAAGTCTGTCTCCTAGGGCTTGAGCATTTTCAATAAACCCCATAAAACTACACTCCTAAGACTTGTAACAATTATATATTCCCACCTACAGCATGAAAGATGGGATATGTATAATTCGAAAATGCTTATTCAAAATCATGGTGCAATTTAATTTTGAAAGTTTAAAACTGTTCTTGTAACTGTTTAACTATGGAAAATGAGGTGTGATAAAATCTTGAGTGATGCAGAATCAGGATTCCAAGCACAAAGTATTTATTTGGAGGATAAGTATTAGAAATTTAAATAACACTTTTCTGTAAAATCTCCACGAGAGTCCAGCCCTTGCTACATATTCAAATGCCTCCAACGTTATCTCCAGAGTTATTTTCCCTAAGTTTCAACACCTGCATTAGTATCCTCCTGTTTGTGGAATAAAGTCCAAATTCAAAATCTGAATTTTTCCCTCTGCTAGTCAGCTTTATTCTCCATTACTCAACTAGAGTAGACAACTCTTTGCTTCTACAACACACCACACGCTTTGCCATCTCTGGTTTCATTCCTTTATGCCACATCTTAGAATAATCTTTTCTTTCTCACCCACCCTTCACTGCAAGGCTCATCTCAAAAGCCACCTACCCTGTGAAGTCCTCCACAATCCTGCCCGTAAAAAACTCACTTTTTGCCTCTGTGCTCCACCAGCATTTCACTCACACCTCTATTACAGCATGTCTACAACAAGCTACTAAACTGGTTATCTTGGAGGACAGACATATCTATTTCTCAACAGGATCTAGTGCAGAACTTGGCAGAACATGCACTCAAAAACTACTTGTGGAATAAACATACTTAAGATTTCAAATCTTCAAATCCCAAATTACCACACAGATATCAGTTCAAAAAACTTTTTTTTAAAACTTCTGCTCACCTCAAAACATGTCCTATTATAATAGTTTCGTAAATTAAAAAAAAAGTCTCCTAACAAAACTGAAAAGATCTTTTTGTCTTTAGAATAGTTATGTTCAATGGACGTGCATATGCGTGATATCTGCATCTTACTTCCTAGGATCAAAAATGGTTTATTTCAGAAATAAAAACACTGGGGGAGGGGGAGGGCAGGGAGCAGTTTATTGTAACATGTGATGACCCGGCAATGATTTGAGCAAGTAAGTCTCTGCTTTACACTCCCAGTGAGAGCACACAGTGACTGGGTATCCTCATCCAAGCCAAGGTAAGGGGGGAAAAGGCGGAACCACTGTGAAGACAATGCTATATTAAAATCTCTTTCTCTTGATTATTTCTGGTTTCCAGCTGACAGGATGAGTTTCTTCTGTCGCTGTATCATCTTCTCTGTACACTTTAATGGTTTTTGTCAGCCTCAGCTGTTAGTAATCGACTTTCAGACTGATCAAAAGCACAAGCAAATACTCCTGATTCACTATCCAAAGACCCAGGTTGCACAGCTGCATGAACTCTCTGGAAATTGTAGCCAGTTCTCCAGCCCCAAAGATGCATAGTGCCATTATCAGCTCCAGATACCAGCACTCTACCAGAATTCACCGTCAATGTGTTAATAATAACATTATGACCAGAAAGATTTTGAATGAAACTTCCATCAGGGAATTTCTACTGTTTTATGTTATCTGGAGAACCCGATGCAAATGTGTAATGTCTTGGATGTAAAACCACAGCCCTGACTGATTTTTTGTGATTTGTTAGTGTGACTCTTGTTTTTCCAGCCACCAAGTCCCATAATCGTATTGTAGTGTCATGGCTTCCAGTAATAATCTGTGGTTCTGCAGCTTGACATCTCACTGTAGCAACTGCATTTGTATGTCCAGATAAAGTGTGCACACTGGCTTTAGTTCTTATGTCCCAAATCCGTGCAGCTGAATCTTGACTACAGGTTACCAGCACATCTATTGTTGGATGCAAATCCAAACCATACATGGCACTTAGATGTCCTTGATAGTGTCTTATAACCTTATTATATTCAAGATCCCAGTATTTTACTTGTTTGTCTTCTCCACAAGAGAACAGGTGTGGGCTTCTTGTGCTTACGATCACACCACGCACTATACTGATATGCCCCGTCAATGACAGTTTTAATTTGCCACTAGCCAAGTTCCAGATCTTTATAGTTCTGTTGGCAGATCCAGTAACAAACCACTGATTTCCAGGTTCCACAGCAATACAGCGAACCCAGCCGAGGTGCCCACAGATGACCCTGTACAGTTTCCAAGGTGGGTGCCACTGGGGTCTTGGCATTGTAGGGGCTTTTTTGGTTATCAGTGCAGAGTTCTTGGCATTGCCAGCCTCCATAATAACTGAAGTCATCACTGGAGGCTGTGACCGGTCAGAGGCCCCAGGATGTCGGTATTCACTTCCAACAGGGGCAGTGCGATTTGCATCAACCCTGGCCTGAGGAGAAGGTCATGCCACAGCTAAAGATTGTGCAGCTGATTCACTTGGTATTCGTTGAATCTTAGTATCCGCTGTCAAAGCAACCCCAGGTCCTGGTGGGTATGGATGTGTACCCATCACTAAGTATTCAACTTCTTGGCCTTGATTGGCAGGATATTGTTTGTGACCATATGAATCTGATGAATTCTGAAGGCTCTTCTCTTTAAAATTTTCTTTTAAAGTAGGCATATGCAACACAGGCCCATACTCATTACGAAGCTTGATTGCCATTTCTCGTTTGTGACTGTCTTCATCCATAGGCACAGGTTTTCCATTATCAGCTACAAACATGTCACGGGTCCTCTTCAATGACCTGAACACAAGTGTGTGCACGGAATGTTTCTGTACCTCCTTTTGAGGCTGAAGCAGCTCGGCTTCTTGTGTCCCTTCTCTCTTCAGCTTCTGCTTCTGTTTCCTGAGGCCTCTTGGCCCTCAGGCCTCATGCCCACATCTGCCCTGGTGGGGCAAGTGTTCCAAAGCTCTGTAGCTCCACTGGTATAAGTGCCCAGAGGCACCCCACTCCGCCAGCAAGCGTCCTGCACACAGGCACTCAGCTCCCTTGCTCCGTGGGTTGGCAAGCCTAGCTCCACCGATAAGTACCCAGAGGCACCCCCACTCTGCCAGGAAGCCTCCCGCACACAGGCACTCAGCTCTCTCACTCTGCACTGGTCTCCTGGTTCTGCTGCTGTTGGTTCTCTGCTGCTGCTGGTCCTCTGTCACTGCCGCACATCAATCCATTCAGTTTTAAAACCACTTCCACATTTTAGGTATCTGTTAGAGCAGCACCCCACTCTTGGTACCAAATTCTGTCTTAGTCATCTAGTGCTGCCATAACAGAAATACCACAAGTGGGTGGTTTTAATGAAGAGAAGTTTATTTCCTCATAGTCAAACTAGGCTAAAAGTCCAAACTCAGGTCGTCAGCTCCAGGGGAAGGCTTTTTCTCTCTGTCAGCCTTCTTCTCTTCAGTGTTCCCTGAGACTAGGAGCTTCTCTGCACGGGGACCGCGGTCCAAAGGACGTGCTCTGCTCCCGGCACTGCTTTCTTGATGGTATGAGATCCTGAAGTAGTGTTTCTTATGTAACATTTTTATAGTTCAGGAAAGACATATTATTAGTAATATACCGAAAAAAAAAAAAAAAAAAGAAAAGAAAACCCAAACCTGTGCTGTCTAGTTGATTCCGACTCATAGTGACCCTATAGGACAGATTAGAACACTCCCATAGGGTTTCCATGGAGCAGCTGGTGGATTCGAACTGCCAACCTTATGGTTAGCAGCTGAGCTCTTAACTACTGCTTCCACCAGGGCTCCATTAGTAATATAAGTAAACAAAATTTAAACAATATGTAAATTAAACATATGCATTATAAATTAAACATTTTCAGGAATTATAATTGCTGGACCATCTACAGTTCTTTATACAACTACAGACACAAGAGTGGTTTCTGGGCAGTATGCTAATTTAAGGAAAAGGAAATATTACATCTCCTGGGAAAACACTCATTAACAGTATTCAAAATATGGATCTAGGTAGACCAGTGAACCTGATGTGGCTCTTGGTATTTTCCCCATTTAGAGCCTTTCTTTTTGGAAAATCTTTCCCTTCTCTAATAGGCGGTGACCATACATCCTAGTATAATCTAGACAGTCCCAATTTGTACTTGCTATCCTGATCAAATTATTGATAAAATCCCTTTCAATCTCAAAATTGTTCTGGTTTGGGTGATAAATTATATCGTCACTCTAGTCGCAAGTCTAGGGGAAAATCTCTCTAACACGCACACTCGCACACATGCATTGCAGCAGATTCTGTTCGTTCACATGAGTCACTGGCCACAGCATGGAATGCTGTGTTCAATTTCTTCCATCACGTGTAAAGCAGAATCAATTAAACCTTTATTCCTCTTAGTTTTCACTATAAAACTAAATTACCTGCAATTAAGGCCAAGTTTGTTTCATTTGTATAGATGTTTTATTGACCATCTTCTGGGATTGGTTTAAATTTTGCAAATATAGAATTTGCAATTGTTAAAGGCTTAATTTAAACATAATATTCTAGGATGGACTCAGTACTCTTTTCTGTATGGGTTTCTTTGTTTCGACTAGACTGAAAGATCAGATATGATGTAGAGGAAGGAACATCAGACTTGGAGTCTGGAGATCTAGGTTTAAGTCAACAATCTGTCCCTGTACTTAGAGGCACAATAAATTCCAGTTTTCCCAGTATCAACCCAACTTATACCTGTTATCCCAGTGCGGTTATTAAGAGTGCCCCTTTCATTCTCAAAAGTGTCAGCGTTTAGAGGATAAATGATATGGTCGCCCTATTTATGAATCATGTGGAACTGGACAATTCATTTAACACTCTGTGTCTTCCCCCCTCATCTTCCAAAAATACCCATACCAGAAAGTTGTTTTGTGGAGGAAGTGAGAGAGCAAACATAAAAGAGCTTTAATAAAAACACAATATACTGAATACATGTAACATATTAGATGAGCTTCTATTTTTCGTACTTCTGCCCTGGGGGTACTGAAAGCAAGATCAAGAATTGCTTGACCTTCTGTGGCTAATTCTGCTTCTTGCACTCAGGTGCAGTTGCTGAATGTTCTATCAAGGGCCTTGTCAGTTCAGGGAGAGAGGCAGCGTAGACTTTGGTTAACTCTGTCAGGTTCTCTCCACTGCTTTGCATGCACACCCCACTCACTCCTTCCTAACCTTTCCTCACATTCTTCCCAGCTTCGAAAGTAGCTCTCTTTGCCGTGCGCAGTGTCCACATTCTTAGCGAAGGCCCAATCTCAAATCATATTTCTGGAAAAAGACTTCTGTGAGTATGTTTAGAGGTTTTACAGTGCTAGCTGTGTCTCTTCCCTGCTAAGATTCTGTCCAATTAAGTTTAGGTACAGAACAATAACTAAATAGGAAATCAAATACAGCTTTATTAATCTGGGAAAGAGCACAATTCCACATGGCACAACTCTGGTAACAGCTGGATTTGCGCTAGACTTAAGTGGGTATTCTATTTCCTACCCCTGATCTAGGTCTTGAAGCTTAAACATGCATAGATGTGCCAAGGGAGAGAAAGAGCTGACCCTGAGCCCACTGCTAAGAAGATGACCTTAAGTCTTACACACTTTAAGTTACGGAGTGAAGACAAATTCTTCCATAATATACTAATTACTCTTTTCTTTAAACACCGTTTATGATCAGAAGCCATACTACAAGTTTAATAAATTGTTTTCTGATTGCATCATGTGAGCTCATTTTTAATCTGTGGCCATATCATGACAGCTCTTGTACATCACTGATTAGTTCTTCACTTCGTCAGTATCTCTGAGAGAATCTAACATAAACTGGGCTCCTACTAGATAACTATTCATCGTTATCATTTGAATGATTGCAATGTAGGCTTAAACAGGTGAAAAAAACATGATTTATTTTTCAACTTGTTAAGAGCACATGGTGGGGCTGTCTCCCTAATGCTGAAAACATTTCTAATGCTATAAAAGACTGATGCTCACCCCTCACCTCATTACAAATGAGTGATGAATATCAGCAAACCCTTTACCAACCCCTTTATGCTCCTGAACACATCAGAAGAGACGAAGCATGGAGAATCATTCTAAATGCCCATGGAAGAGACCAGAAGCCTGGACATCAAACTTGTCTCCTCTTTTTACCTTATTTTCCAGCCACCCTTGCAGGTAGACACGGCCATGTGACTGGGTTCTGGCCAATGGAATGTTGGTAGTATCATGTGTGCCACTTGCTGGTCTGGCCTGTAGGCCGCTCACACACGATCATCCGTACTTTTTTTCTTTCAGTCTGGCCAGAATGGCAAAGACCTACAGGGAAAATTGGAGAGCCCTGGATTGGAAGAGATAGAGCTATGAGACAAAAGATTCAGTGTTTGGAGGAGAGTTACTAAAGAAAGAACACTAGCATTGGATTGAGAGAGAAATGCAATTTTATTGTCCAAGTCACTCAGACTTTGAAATTTACCTGTTATTGCAGTTAGTGTGCTAGCGTTTTCTTGATCTTACCAGAATAATCAAAGGAATTTCTTTTCCTTCACAAAACTACATCACAAGAGACAGTGAGTATAAGAATCCATTGAGCATAGGATGCATCTTGATTTTAGAGAAGTGAAAGGTGAAAAAAATGTGCATCTTAGAATTGATGAACTAAGGTAATTCAATGTTCCGGTGTGAATTTTTTTCACATCTGTGTCTGAGTCTCATAGACGACACCTTGAAGACTGGAAAAGCTCCTATTTCTTGTGAGCAGAATGTAAGCTCCTAGAGGGCTTGACATTGATCTGTTTTATTCACTTTCGTGTCTTCAACATGTAGGACTTCACCTGGCACATAGTAGGCATGCAATAAAATTTGTTGACTGGTAATTTATTAATATGTATTGAAAAACCTAATTCAATTATGCTGCCTGAAGATCTGCATCGGGAGTGCGTTCTTCATCTACAGGTAATCCTCAAGGGAAGGTGAATGACAATGGCCAGCATGGACTCAGAATCCAGAGAGAGATTCTGATGAGCTGGATGTTTGATGACCTCATGGCATGATGCATGGGAGCGGGGCTTCTGAAACGTATGAGAGGAGACTGTTAGGAGGCACTTGTAGGGACTTTACTTTATAATGTGAGTGCCTGAAGAAATACCTCAAGAAGTCAAAAGGTGAGTTTATCTATTAATTCATTTATGATTGTAAGTGTTTAAAAATCTATAAAGCTGTTTGCTCTGTTTGGTTCTAAATAATATTTGAAGTAAATGCTTTGTGTCTGAAGATTGTCTACCTTTTAAGTCTCAGTGAGGATGTCTTGACTACTGTGAGAAAAGCACATACCATATCAAGAGTGTGTTCTGCTCAGACATGCCATGAGTGCGCCCTTTGTGGCAGGAGAGTAAGTAGGGACTGTGTCTAGCCCATTCCTGTATTCCCAGTGACCAGAACAGTGACTGGACAGAGCTGGTGCTCAGTACACGTTTGAAGAATAAGTAGTCGTTATTGGAAATGGCTGAATGGCTGACTCAAAGCTGAAAACCCTATCAACTCCAATCTGGAGATGGAATATGAGTCCCATATTTTCAGAGCTAATTATGAGTCAGTCACTGTATGTATGCATGCGTGTGTGTGTATTCTTGTCTAATATAAGAGGAAAGTACTAGCATTATCCTTATGTATACAGAGGAGGAAGTTGAGACTCAGAAGGACAATTCATTTACATGAGGTCACAAAGAAAGTGAGAGAGCTCAGATTTGAGTTCTGATCATTCTGACTCCAAAGCCATTCTTATCCACTATACACAGTTGTTGAGAAGTGGTGCAGGGGCTTGACCT